TTCAAAGGATGCAAATAACCAAATATTCCCACTAGCCTTTGGAATTGCAGAATCTGAAAATAATAATTCCTATGAGTGGTACTTTAGTGAGCTTCGCAATGCAATTGGGAGTCGTGACAATTTAATTTTTTTATCGGACAGGCATCAATCTATTGCACATGGCATTGCAAAGGTATATCCTGAAAGCTACCATGGGATTTGTATCTATCATTTGGTGCAGAACCTAAAGCAAAGGAAAGTGAAAAATGAGGTCATAAAACTTTTCCAAAGTGTTGCAAGAGTATACAGGCGCAAAGAATTTGATCTATACATGTCAGATATAGCAAAAGTTGATAATAAGACTTTTGACTACTTGATGGAAGAACCACCGGAAAGGTGGGCACGTTCTTGTAGTCCACGACGAATATATGACATGCTCACAACAAACATAGTTAAGTCAATGAATTTTGTGCTATTAGAAGCAAGGGAGTTGCCTATATTAAGAATGATGGATTTCATCCAAGTGAAGCTACAACGTTGGTTTTATGAAAGAAGAAATGAAGCAGAAGGAACTTTTTATGACGTTTCTTGTTGGGTAGAAGAGGAATTGAAGAAAAAGATAGATTTAGCTTTTACTTTAAATGTAAGTATTATGTTCTTACTTTAGCTTATTATTTTAATGATAATTTAACATAATGTACTAACTTATAGTTTTTCAACTTTGAAGGTCTTCCCTGTTGATTCATGGTGTTCTAGAGTTGAGGAAGAAGGAATTACTTTCTTGGTGGACTTAAACAAAAGAACATTTGATTGTTTTCAGTTTCAATTTGATGAATTACCATGTATACATGCAATTGTAGCTATCGAGAAGAGAAACATCAAGAAGTCCAATTTCTGCTCGGACTGGTACTTAAAGGAATCTTGGCTGAAAACATATGAAAGACAAATACATCCTATAGGATATACGGATTCTTGGATTGTACCAGAGAGTGTTAAGTCACAAATTATTAAACCTCCAAATTTCAAAGTCCCGCCAGGTAGAAGGCAGAAGAAAAAGCATATTCCAGCTACCGAATCATCAAAAATAACATTCAAAGGTGGTCGTTGCAGAAGAATTGGTCATAATAGATTATCTTGTATATATTCTTCAGCAGTCCATCCATTTTCAAGGAAGCATAGAGAATAATAGATATATCCACTTATGTTTATCTACTCTTTTAAGTTTTTGCTATAAATTGGATTCATTTAGATTGTTTTTATTTGAGCAAGTAAACATTAACAGATGGTTATATAAAAGATGTCCTGAATTTTCAAAGTTTCTTTGCACTTACGTGCTCTTTGTTTCTTTTTCTTTTTCTGGGAGTTCTATTTACCTTTGTCGGACCAATTATTGTTTATGAGATTTTATTCTTGCCGTAAGTAAATAAGAAAGTTCTTTTCTTTATATAATTTGACGCCTGCAACTTGCTACATCTTTATTTTTAAAATGAGATTAGTACAAGTAAAACTTAAGGACATAATCTTTTACAGGTCCTGAAAATTTCAAGTATGAATCTAATATTAAGGACATAAATTTCTAAAATGTCCTTAACTTCTGGAAACCGCATATTATTATCTAGATTTCCAGAAGTTCAGGACATTTTAGAAAAATATGTCCTGAATATTATTTTCATCCTTCAACAATTCAGGACGTTTATGAACATAATGTCCTGAAGTTCTACAACAATCAATGTATCTTTTGCTATATCTCTACAGATTTAATAAAAAACTGGCAATTTAAAATGGACAAATCAGTAGTTATAAAACTTGACATTTGCAGCTTGCTAAACACAACTTGCTACATCTTATTTTTAAAATGAGATTGGTACAAGTAGACTTCAAGACATAATTTTTTGAAACGTCCTGGACATTTGAAGTATGAATCTAATATATAGGACATAAATTTCTAAAATGTCCTTAACTTCTGGAAATCTCAGTTTATTGTCTATATTCCAGAAGTTTAGCACATTTAAAAAAATATGTCTTGAATATTATTTTCATCCTTCAACAAATAAGGATGAAGTTAACAGATTCTGAAGTTCTACAATAATCAATGTGTGTTGCTTTGAATTTCTAGAAACTTCAAGATAATTTAATCAAAGATTGGCCCTTTAAAACTGTGAAAAAATGGACAAATCAATAGTTAACCAAAAGAAAGAAATTAATAACACGATGCCTTCATATTACTGCTGAAACTGTAATTTAGCATAGCTGTGACCAAATATTTATGCTATGCAAACAAAATAAAGTGCCTTGTGACAATTTACAGGATATTTCAGAATTCATATGGATTCTTTACAACAATTTTATACCAATTTCACTACAGCTGACTTTCTTTACAACTACACTACATCTCCTCTGGGCAGGAAGTTTTATTTTCACTATCATAATCGTCACCGACATTTTTTGGTGGTGTATCATAACCAGAATTTCTTTTCCACTCTTCATGTGCCCAAAGATTTGCTGCAAGTTCTTTTCTGAAGTTTGATATGTCCTCAGGTTGGAATTTTTCCACATCCTTTTCCATCATCAACAACTCCACATACTTGATTAGGAATGCACCACAATCAGTCCTAAGAAAAATAAGGAGTCAATTAAATAATATCTTTAATAAAATAAATCTAAAGTACATATAAATTATATAGCAAATGACAACACGTACGATCCAGTTTGGTGCGGTGATCTTTGCCACCGAATATCAAATTTGTTGAATGCATTTCCAAAAGATTTGTGATTTTTCTCAAACTGTGAGAACTTTAGCAAGTGGGGATCATGCATGCGTACATTTCAATGTGTTTCATTCCTTGCTCATATGGCTCACTATATATGGAATCGTACACATCAAACTTTCTCTCATACCCCCAAAAGAAAATGTGTCACAACATCATTATCTTCTGAAGGAAGCCGACATGGAAAAAAGATTTTGTCAACCTCTGTCCAAGCAATTCCACATCTACGATTGTCACCCCACACATATGGTGTGAGAACCAACTAATTATCATCACATCAAAATAAATCTGAAGTATCTTCATTGAAATCCTTATACACAATTAGCATATAGTTATCAAAAAGTATATCTGTAGTTGTGCAACGATAAGGATGGGCGCAAGGGTGGTAGCATTCCTTCTTTCTCAAATAATACAGGGCAATGTCAATATGCTTCATAAAAAGGCAAAAAAAGAAAAAAAATTCATCAGTCATAAATAATTAAAAAATAATAAATTAAGAAGAAAGAAAACAAATGCCTTGTGAATTATCAAACCTTATCATCAAGTACAAAGCTACTATCTGCAAGCTCAAGGAAGAACATTTTTCTATTGATTTTTTGATGGTACGATTTATATGGATTCTTTCTCACACCATTATCCTCAGCATATATATCAGTTTGTCCCCTGAAAATTTTGAAAATATCAAAGTTAGAAAGTTTATAAGTTAGTCCTCAATTCCTAATTAAGGACACTTGGTCCTGAACTTACAGTAACAAGGTCATAAGTTTAGGACACTTGGTCCTGACGTTAGAGTTACAAATTCAAAATTTAAGGACAGGTAGTCCTTAACTTACAGTTACAAGTTCAAAAGTTAAGGACACTTGGTCCTGAACTTAGACTTACAAGCTCATAAATTAAAGTCCTGAACTTAGAGTAACAAGCTCATAAGTTAAGGACAATTGATCCTGAACTTAGAGTGGAAGTTCAAAAATTAAGGACACTTGGTCCTGAAGTTAGAGTTGCAAATTCAAAAATTAAGGACAGGTAGTCCTTAACTTACAGTTACAAGTTAAAAAGTTAAGGACACTTAGTCCTGAACTTAGACTTACAATCTCAAAAGTTAAGGACACTTAATCCTTAACTTAGAGTTACAAGCTCAAAAATTTAGGACATTTAGTCATGAAGTTAGAGTTGGAAGCTTAATACACTTAGTCCTGAATTTAAAATTACAAGTTCAAGACACAAATATAAGCAATTAAGAATTAATGAATATATTTAGGGACTTACACTTTTTTGCGACCTTTCCTTTTCTCCTTGCCCAACCACCCAATGAATTTCTTCAATAAGTTTTCATCATCTTTGGCATAATGAAAAATACATGTACGAGTATATTTTGATTTTATCCAGCCTGTATACTTAGGAGTATTTTCATTGTGTGCCATCGATGTTCCTCTTTTTCTTTTCTGTTCAAAAGGAGATTTCAATTGCCAACTAAGCTTCTTATTCCTTTTCCCTCGACCAAGCTCTTCTTCAACATTTCCTTCAACCTCCATAGACAAACCCTCATCAATGCTCATTTGTGTAGTCGGAGGAGTAGGAGTAAGAATAGTAAATGATAGACCATCAAAACCAATACTATCTCTCTTCATTTTCCTAGTATATTGGTTAACGGCTTCATTTTTGTTTTGCTCTGCAAGCAACACTATATATACATTAGTTTGTTGTAAGTCGTCAATTCTATGAATTGTCAAATGAAGAGACAAAAACTAAGGACATAATTTATGAAATGTCCTGACAATTTGAATTATGAATACAATATTAAGGACACAATCAATACCTGTGTTGGCCACGCTGCCTTCTTGTATTTCTTTAACAGACAATGGTGCTGACATATTGCTTGCATTTTCTTTATCTTACAATTGTTCTCCATGTTCTTCGATTGCAAGTTCACAAGATTCTGCAAAGTATTTACAGGAGCTAACACAATTATTACTTGTTACTAATCTTTGATTAAAACAAATATGTATAAGATGAAAAAAACTCCATCTAACTTTTTGCAACTGTCAAGATCATGCCAGTTAAACCATTATCTTGACTAGCATTTTTTTGGCTTCCGATATTGTCTGTAAGAGAGAGAGGTGTAGAGATATCATACGTTCCTTCTATACATTTGCAAACAATCTCACTTATGCTTTTTCCTTGGGTATTTTCTATGTTTTGAGATTGTCCTCCACTTCTCTCTTTTGAAATTTCATCATCTTGATAGTTCACTCCATCTTGTGTAGTCGGAGGAGTAGGAGTAAGAATAACAAATGATGGACCATCAAAACCAATACTATCTCTCTTCCTTTTCCTAGTATATTGGTTAACAACTTCATTTTTGTTTTGCTCTGCAAGCAACACTACATATACATTAGTTTGATGCAAATCGTCAATTCTATGACAAATTGTCAAATGAAGAGACAAAAACTAAGGACATAATTTTTGAAATGTCCTGACAATTTGAATTATGAATACAATATTAAGGACACAATCAATACCTGTGTTGGCCACGTTGCCTTCTTGTATTTCTTTAACAGACAATGGAGGTAACATATTGATTGCATTTTCTTTATCTTGCAACTGTTCTCCATGTTCTTCGATTGCAAGTTCACAAGATTCTGCAAAATATTTACAAGAGCTAACATAATTAGTACTTGTTACTAATCTTTGATTAAAACAAACATGTATAATATGAAAAAAAAAAACTCCGTCTAACCTTTTGCAACTGTCAAGATCATGCCAGTTAAATCACTATCTTGACTAGCATTTTTTTGGCTTCCAATATTGTCTGTAAGAGAGAGAGGTGTAGAGATATCATACGTTCCTTCTATACATTTGCAAACAATCTCACTTATGCTTGACCCTTGGGTATTTTCTATGTCTTGAGATTGTCATCCACTTCTCTCTTTCGAAATTTCATTATCTTGATAGTCCACTCCATCTTCTTTCCTTGCAGCTTCAAAAGATTCTGTAACATTTACAATTAATACTTGTTACTAATAGTTTACTAAAACTAGCATTCAACATGTCATGAAAATTCCATCTAACCTTGATTGGCATCATTTTGATTTCCAAATTTCTCTTTATGTGAGAGAGGTGTAGATAGATCATATATTTCTTCAACACATTTGCATACAATCTCACTTATACTTGTTCCTAATAGATTTTCTAAATCCTGATCGTCTTGACATTCCATTCCATCTTGAACTTGCACTCCATCAAAAGATTCTACACACATTTGTAATCACAAAAAAGTTTATATGTATTATGCTATTGAATATAAATTTCATGATAACAAATTCAAAAACTGTATCTAACTTTTCCCGATTTCGATGCCAATATCAGTTTCATCTTCTAGATGCGCATCTCTATAATCGCTTTCATAATGATCTTCTACATGCACATCTATATCATCACATTGATCATCAACTGCATCTTTGCTAATTGGAACACTAGGTTCTCTCTCTATAGTCTTTTCATGAGGTTTGTCAAGAAGCTTCAATAAAGTATCAATCTTTGATCTTAGGTTTTTCTTTAAAGCCTGTGAGATAGTATTTAAAATAAGAATCAGAATTAAGGACAAGTATTCCTTAACTTAGAGTTACAAGAACTGAAATTAAGGACATGTAGTCCTGAACTTAGAGTTACAAGTTAAAAAGTTAAGTACAGATAGTCCTAAACTTCAAGTTACAAGCTCACAAATTAAGGATACTTGGTCTTTAATTTAGAGTTACAAGCACAAAAATTAAGGACAGTTAGTCATGAACTTAGAGTTCCAAGTTCAAAAGTTAAGGACATGTAGTCCTGAACTTAGAGTTACAAGTTAAAAAGTTAAGGACAAATAGTCCTAAACTTCAAGTTATAAGCACAGAAATTAAGGATAGGTAGTCCTGAACTTAGAGTTACAAGTTATAAAGTTAAGAACATGTAGTCCTGAACATAGAGTTACAAGTTAAAAAGTTAAGGACAGGTAGTCCTGAACTTAGAGCTACAAGTTAAAAAGTTAAGGACATGTAGTCCTGAACTTAGAGCTACAAGTTAAAAAGTTAAGGACATGTAGTCCTGAACTTAGAGTTACAAGTTAAAAAGTTAAGGACATGTAGTCCTGAACTTAGAGTTACAAGTTCAAAAGTTAAAAATAGGAAGTCCTAAACTGAGAGTTACAAGCTCAAAAATTAAGGACATAGTATCTTTAACTTAGAGTTACAAGCACAAAAATGAATGATATTACCTTGATGTCATTTTGAATCCTTTTTTCTGATAAAGCTATTTTTTGATGTATTCTAGTACATTCTACCTCCATATCCTTTTTGAACTTCTCCGATAATCTCTGAATCAAAAACCATAAAAACAAAAAAAGTCTCTTAAGCAAATAAAAAACTAATGGTATTCAAAGACAGAAAACCTATGTTAACAATTTCCTTAAGCAAGACTTCATCAAATTGTGTTGAAGGCATTGAACTTTGATCTTGAGACAATAGCACATGCACACTAGTGGGCTCCGCATCTACTTTAGAAGAAAGAAATGGTACCATCTCGAGCAACTGATACAACTATTATATAAGAAAAAAAAAACGTAAGTATTCAGAAGTAAAACACATAAATAAAAAAATAGTTAGTAATCCTGTTAACTTACTTTTTCATTATGGAAGTACTTTTTACATAGGGTGTCATAATGTGGAGATTTCATATCTAAATAATATAGCATCCGAGGGAACCCACTTTCTCTGAAGTTCACAAATTATTTTTCCTGAAAAATTGGGAATACTTCCATAATCCAAACACAGAAGGTGAAAGAGAAGCCAAGTATAGTATAACTGTCCTTCTCTTTATCTTTCTCTTTCTCATTCTTATTCTCATTGTCTGAAGTATTTTGTTTGGGCTTCAAGCAGCTCTTCAATGATTTTAGTAACTTTTCATAACAAAGAGAGCCTCAATTGAAAAAAGAGCAGAGTTCATCGTCATCTACGATTTTCATTACCCGCTCGGACACATTCCGATTCTTGCGCTTCCCCATCAACACAGATTCAACAAAATAAATTGTTGCCAACTTCACCACATCGTCATGGCTGCCTACAAATGATGCAGTTGTACCATATGGGTGACTAGTAATAAAATGCCACAAATAGCCTAACTCGATTCTATCCTTTCCAGGGAAGTAGACTTTCGAAAGCCTATTCTCTCTTTCACGTAAAACTTTGAAGTCCACTGAAGAAGAACATTTCAACCCAGTAATTATCTGGAACGCTTCACGTGTAAACTTCACTTCATGATCAAAAACCTTGAATGTCATTGAATGCGAGTCATTACTTATAATTTCTAAAAGCAACACACAATGAATAAGTCTACCACAGAACTTCACACCTTGTAATCGAAAAAAGTTTCCGAAAACACCATCCCTCAACTTCTTCCATTGCGTGTTCGACAAGAAACTTTTTATTGTTTCCTTATACTGAAAATCTCCTTTCCAATAGCTCATTGAATTATGTCAATCATCAAACTCGAAAACACAATCTCCTTCCATTAGCACACTACAAAGAAGGAAATAGAACGTAAACATTAGGACTATTTTTCTGAAATGTCCTTCATATTTAAACTACAAAACTAAAATCCTGGACCTAAGTAGATGCATCTTTAATAGAAGAACAGTAAACTAAAATTAGCTTACAAATTCTTAGGACTATTTTTCTGAAATGTCCTTAATAATTAAACTACAAAACTAAAATCCAGAACCTAAGTAGATGCATCTTTAATAGAAGAACAATAAACTAAAATTAGCTTAGAAATTCTTAGGACTATTTTTCTAAAATGTCCTTAATATTTAAATTAAAAAACTAAAATCCAAGACCTATTTAGATGCATCTTTAATAGAAGAACAATTAACTAAAATTAGCTTAGAAATTCTTAGGACTATTTTTCTAAAATATCATTAATATTTAAACTAAAAAACTAAAATCCAGGATCTAATTAGATGCATCTTTAATAGAAGCACAATTAACTAAACTTAGCTTACAACTTCTTAGGACTATTTTTCTAAAATGTCCTTAATATTTAAACTAAAAAACTAACATCCAGGACCTAATTAGATGCATCTTTAATAGAAGCACAATTAACTAAACTTAGCTTACAACTTCTTAGGACTATTTTTCTAAAATGTCCTTAATATTTAAACTAAAAAACTAACATCCAGGACCTAATTAGATGCATCTTTAATAGAAGCACAATTAACTAAACTTAGCTTACAACTTCTTAGGACTATTTTTCTAAAATGTCCTTAATATTTAAACTAAAAAACTAACATCCAGGACCTAATTAGATGCATCTTTAATAGAAGCACAATTAACTAAACTTAGCTTACAACTTCTTAGGACTATTTTTCTAAAATGTCCTTAATATTTAAACTAAAAAACTAACATCCAGGACCTAATTAGATGCATCTTTAATAGAAGCACAGTTAACTAAAATTCCTAAACACAGTTAGCTTACAAATTCTTGGGACTATTTTTCTGAAATATCCTTACATAATCAATATATTGATTGAACCACAAATACATTTCAATACCAAAAGGTTCTCAATAACTTTCTCACAAAATTCTGCACCTTATTCCTCAACGAATCAAGTTATAATCATTATTTTGGACATTTCACACATACTTGATGACAAACACAACATTGATCACGATTAGAGATATACAAAAAGAAAAATGCATAAAAGCAAAATTGAAAACATACCAGTACGCTGGTTAGCTGCAGAGAAGATGACAAAATAGAAGAGATTAAGTTGGACAAAGTATACGCAGAGAATTGTTGTGGGCTGGGCAGGAACGATATTGAGGGAGCGAAATTTTGCTTATGAAATTTTGGCTCTGAACTTCAATCGAGAGAAGAGAGTTGCATGCAGAAACGATATTGAGGGAGCGAAATTTTGCCTATGAAATTTCGGCTCTGAACTTAAATGAGAGAAGCGTATAAAGGAAGGGTTTGGGAATAAAAGAAATAGAAGAAAGGGTAAAAATGTCTTTTCATATTAATTTTAATGAAGTAATGGCTATTTTTGCTCAACATTAGAATTGGTGGATAAAAAATAAACAACACCTTATTTAGTGGCTACCACACGCCATTTTTACAATAAATTGAGGTTGTCCACGTCTAAACCCATCTGCCTCACATTGGAGAGGCCCACAATCACAGTTCATAGAACTCAAATGGACAAGGCTCCACATACATGGGCTTTGCATGCTTGCTCAGCCCAATACACTTAAACCAAACGATGATAACGAGCCAAAGCAGATGCAACACTTAACCATAGAAAGGGATTGACAAAGAAAAAATAATAAAAATCTGTCGTGCTTTACATGATAATAACACAATATATGATTTAAGTACCAACACTGATACAGTAATCCTATATCATGCAAAATAGCTTTTTAATAAATTACAGTCCTCCTTAGGTTCAAATACATCCACATGAGAATTGCAGAGTACATCAATGGTCTCTATAATTAATTATGACAACATTCACACTTTAAATTAGAAACAACAATCTTTTACACATATCTTCAAAATCTCATTCTTTAACTTGTAGCTATTCGACTTCACAGGGATGCAAATTCCACGAAAGCCATTTTCCAAAATAGAAACTCGTTTAATTCTTGTACCTCAAACCAGTCTGCATTGTTATTAGAATATAAAGGGAAAACCCAGATTTCAGCAATTCAATTTCGAATGCAAGCAGCATATAATTACTGATGTGATACACAAGTTGAATTTTAACTAAAACATGTGAGATTCAACACATTCTTAGTCACAAATCACTGCTAAAACGATTTGTCTCTAATAAGCAAAACTATAAAAATCTTCAAGTAGTTGCTATATTAAAGATAAACATTCAATTTATGTTCAAGACCAAACAAACAATAAGTTTAAACACTGCAGCAAATAACTTCAAAGAAAAACAGCCCATACTTCAATACAAATCAGAAAAAAATACAAGTGAGAAGTATGTACCTAAATTTGTAAATGGAGCTGAACTCTTGCCAAATAAAGGCCAAGGAAAACAGCTAATTAACGAGCTTAAAACAGATCAGCAGCAGAAATCAGGAAGACAATCCAAATCCCAGCTAAACAACAGAGTGACAGCAGCAGTAAAACCAGCAATTTCTTTCAAATCAAACCAAGCTTTTGAACCCAGAAATGATGCAAGGATCCAGAGAGGTTAGAAGCAGCTTTTAATCCCTCTTTTTGGCTATTTTCTTTTTGTTTTTGGAGTGTCTTTGCAGCTATTAAAACTCAGATTTGGAACCTAAATTTTCTAGCAGCCGTCTCACTCTATTTTCTGTCTAAGACCCCTTCAAAATGACTGAAAATGAGCCTTTTATAGAAGGGATTATAGGGCAACAACTCCATTTTACTAATTCACCCTCACCTTTTTAACTTTTGTTATTGACTCTTAGACCCCAAAAATCTCATTTATTTCTATTTTCTTTTTGGAGAGACCACCTTTTCTTTCTTCTAGAACCTTCTTTTAGTTATAACAGAAAAGATTCCCTTAGGTTAAAATCCCTTAATACCCTCTAAACTCTAGATAATTACAAATTTCTTTTACTCGCTCAATTACTGCTTTTGTTTTATTAACTTTCTGCAGTAGGCTTCCAGCAGTGGGCTTTTTAAACCTAAACTGGACTGGGCCAGCTCAAACTGGGATCCAAAGACCATCAATTGCCGTGTTTCAATAACTCTACTGCCCGGACCCAAATCCCATTAATAATATCTAAAATCAATTAAGACTTAAACAAAAAACTGAACATTGAAAATGGGGAATTAACGCAAGAGAGAAACAAACTAACAAAATTAAAGGTTTTTAATTTTAATGTCAGTACCTACCTTTAATCAAAGCAACTTGAACACATGCAAAACACAAAATGAAACTGATTTGTTGAATTGCAAATAATCAGAGAAAGTCAGAAAGAGGAAAATGAGAAATTACCTACTAGAACCAAACATGCCAAAAGAGGAGAGGACGACCAATAATAATTAAGAAATTGAGGAAATAAGCTGCCTGAATCCGCCTTTTCAAATCGCCAAGCATTTCTGGCCGACGAGTATTCATTCAGATTCTCAGTCCGGCAAATACTTCGCAGGCCAGAAATCCATGAGGAGTTGAAGGTTTGGATTAAAAAGGAGAGCTAGAAGAAAGGTTTGGGGAATTTTTGGCCAGTCAACGGCCAATTGAACGGAATCCGGCTACCGTGAAGTAGGTCAGAACCAATGCCAATTGTCCCCTTTCATCAAGATGAATCGATTCAAGTAAGCTTCATCACTAAAAAAATTACGGAATTGAAGGAAATTGGGGAAGAAGTCAAAAAGACTGGATTTTTATTTTTAGATCTTTAATTCGGAAAGAATGAGTGACTTTTTAGAGGAACTAGTGGTGGATTTGGAGTGAGGGTGAGAAGTAGACTGTGGGGTGATGATTTGGGTGGATTTGGAGATCATCCGCCGCCGTAGGCGAATCCCGACGGCGGTTCTGGGCGAGGTTAAGAGAGATGATGAGGAGAGGGAATGAGAGAGATGAATCTAGGGTTTGAAAATTTTGGACAGTTTTATTTGGGATGGGGAATTAGTTCCTAACCGTTGGATGGGGATCAAATCAAGGGCTGAGATTGTCCAAGGAAAAAACGGGGTCGTTTGGTTCGTAAATGGGCTGGACCGGTCTTAAAGTTTGGGCTAGGGCGGGTGTTAAGGCAATTGGGCCATTGAAATTGTTCTTTGGCCCAAATTCTAAACAAGACCAAAATAACCTTAATTCCTTTTCTTTGATTTTTTTTCCTTGATTTAAAAATTCTAAATTATATCCTATCTTATATCTAATTTGAAAAATTAATTCTACTTATATATTTTCTAACAACGGACTAATTTGTCCAAATTTAACAAATGCATGTAAAATTAAAAAAAAAATTATTTGATTTTTATGTATTAATTCCAACGATTAAAGAGTAATTAATTCCTAAAAATACAAATTAAACCTAAAATGGTATGAAATTAAATGTGACAATTTTTATGGTTTTTATATGATCTTAAAATATTAAATATACATGAAATGCAACTAAATGCAAACAATAATTAACAGGAAATTTCTAAAAATTCTATAGAAATTTAAAACAAAAATAAAAAATAATTTTTGTGGATTTTGTGGGAGTATTTTTGGTGAGGCAAAAATTACATGCTCACACTTACCAGCTCAATTGCTTCATCATCATATTTTCGCCTTTCAGAAAGAATGTTAGTTTCGTCAAAAATCACATGTACACTTTCTTCTACACACATAGTTCTTTTGTTATAAATCTTATAAGCTTTACTATGTGAAGAATATTCCAAGAATACTACCTCATCACTTCTGGGATCAAACTTACCTAGGGAGTCTTTACCATTATTGTGCACAAAGCACTTGCATCCAAATGCCCTAAGGTGGGATATATTTTGTTTTCTCCCTTTAAGTAACTAATAGGGAATCTTCTCGACAAGAGGTCTAGTCATGCACCTATTTATGGTGTAGCATGCAGTGTGTCACAGCTTCTGCCCAGAAACTATGGGGCAGTTTACTAGAAAGAAGCATAGTCCTAGCCATTTCTTCCAATGTCCTATTCTTTCTTTCAACTACTCCATTTTGTTGTGGAGTCCTAGGAGCAGAAAAATTATGATTTATGCCATGCTCATCACAAAATTCTGAAAATTTAGCATTCTCAAATTCAGTACCATGATCAGACCTAATTGATGCAAGTTGATTACCTAGTTGTTTCTGATTTTTCTAACAAAAGAATTGAACATGTCAAATGCTTCATCTTTAGATGTTAAAAACAATGTCCAAGTAAACCTAGAGTAATCATCAACAAGCACCATAACATATCTCTTACCACCCCTGCTCAGTGTTCTCATTGGACCACAAAGATCCATATGGACCAGTTCCATCGTCCTGGTAGTGCTTACCATTTTCTTGATTTTGAAAGAGGATCTTACCTGCTTCCCCCTTGCACAAACCTCACAAACTTTATCTTCCTTGAACTTAATGTTAGGCAGCCCTATCACCAAGTCCTTGGAGGCTAGTTTGTTGAGTTGGCTTAGACTGGCATGCCTAAGTCTTTTGTGTCAAATGAGGGGATCATTATCCAACAAACTTAAGCAAGTGAGTTTATTATTTGAAAGTGTGGATAGATCCACAATATATATGTTGTTCACTCTTTTTACCTGCAAAACTATCTTGTCATTGTTAAGATTAATCACAAAGAATTTTGTAGAGGTGAATGCTACCATGTTACCTCTATCACACAATTGTGATACACTTATTAGACTGTACTTCAATCCATCTATCAAGTAGACATTTTTAATAGAGTGAAAATCAGTCTTACCTACCTTTCCAACCCCAATGACCTCACCTTTCTTCCCATGTGCAAAGAAGACATTATCTCCTTTAAGGTCCTCAAGTGAAAGAAACTGGTTCTTGCTTCTTGTCATATGCTTTGAGCAGCCACTATCCATGTACCATATTTGGATGATCCCCTTCACTTGGACATGTAAAAGAAAATCAAAGGTTAGTCTTAGGAACCCAAACTAGTTTGAGTCCCTTTTTATAGGCAAAACGATGAATCAAAATCTTTTTAGTCCAACTTGGCAGCCTATTTTTCCCTTGAACAAAATCTTTATTCTTTTGACTTGCCTTTTCTTTTGCAGTGCATTCACTTTTATAGTAACCAGTATTACCACAGTGTGTGCAAATCTTGTTCTCGAGAAGTGTAAGATACTTGATTTTGGGATCCCACTTAGGTGCAGGGTTCCCAAAGCCAAGTCCTCGTCTGTTGCAACTATAGTGTTCTTGTAGCCATGAAAGTGCATTAGAGGACCTGTTCCATTTACAAATTCTGTCTAGCTCATGCTTGACCTTGATTAGATCCTCCTTTAAGATTCTTACCTGTTCATCTCTCTTGTACAACTCATATTTCATTTTTCCTATATTTTCTTCTAAAGTGAGTTGTGTGTGATCAACTATCTTTTTGCCTGTTTCTAGTTTCAATTTTAAATTTTCAGATTTAAGCTCTAGGATAGTTGAGTCAAGTGCATGAACCTGGTTTTTCAATAAAATATTTTTACTTACAGTTTCACTAACCCTAAGTTTTAGGTTTTTGCACTTAACCGTCACAATCACACATTCTTTAGACATCTGTTCCTTTTCGTTATCCTCAGATTCATCAATTAGCTATAGTAGTAACTTAGATAACCTTTCTTTAGACAAAAAATTAATCTTGTCTTTGAGATAAAAGATACATACATCGGTTTCTTTATCAGATTCTCCAATGGATATAAGTGCTAGTTCATCCTCATCATCATCATCTGAGCTTTCATATAAGCTTTCTTCCCAAGCAGCGACCATAGCCTTGGTTGATCCTTTGTTATTGCTTTTCTTGGGTTGAACCTGTTCCTTCTTCCTGTTCCTTCATTCGGCTCTTTCCTTCTTCCATTCAATTTCCCACAAAGGATAGTTTTTGATGTGATTATCGGGTTTTCCACACTTGTTGCAGCCATCATTGGTTTGCTTCTCCAGAGCTTTTGCTTTGCTGTAGCTTCCGCTTCTTGAAGAACCCTTTCCTCTACTCAGGTACTTCTTGAAGTCTTTGGTGATCATGGTCATTTCATCATCTTCTAGATCAGAACCTTCAGTGATTCTGAGTGCCAAGCTTCTTTCCTTATTAGGTACATCCATCTTCATGGTTTGTCTCCTAAGTTCATAGGCTGTGAGATTTTCAATCAATTCATCTAGTGGGAGAGTAGCAATGTTCTTTGACTCTTGGATGGCAGTGATCTTACTTTCCCATGTGATTGGCAAGACTCTAGTAAGTATCTTCTCAAACCTCTTTTCTTCAGGAATAATCCTTCCAAGAGATTTCTGTTCATTTATCAGTGTAGTAAACCTTGTGTACATCTCTTGAATGGTTTCTCCATCCTTCATTGCAAAGTTCTCATACTGAGAGTACATTAGAGTTCCTCTAGATCTCTTCACTTGAATAGTTCCTTCATGAGCCACGTGTAGTGTGTCCCAAATTTGCTTAGCAGTGGCACAACCTTGGATTTTGCTGTACTCATCTGGACCAAGTCCACAAACAAGTCATTTCTTGGCTTTAGCATTCTTCTCCCACTTCTTCAAGTCCTCAACAGTGCAATCCGCTCTTGTCTTTGGCACATCTACTCCTTCAATATTTTTCTTCAATATAGCCAGTGGACCATCAATGACAATGTCCCATAACTTATAGTCTTCTCCTTGAATGTTGTCTCTCATTCTATTTTTTCACCAAGAGTAGTACTGGCCATTAAAGAGTGGTGGCCTAGCAGTGGATTGCCCTTCCCAGTTTCCAGATGGTGCACGTATCTTGATTTTCTCCTAAGGTGTTAGCCTCTTTAAGGATAGCCCGCTCTGATACCAATTGATATTTTGTACTTCAATACCACACAAGAGGGGGGAGGGGGATGTGTGCGGTGTCCAATTTTTCGCGTGCACAAATTATAGAAGAACCTAGTTCTTCTATGTGTTCCTTATACTACTGTTGCGAAATAATAAATGCGAAAAGTAAAGAACACAAGTATTTTACGTGGAAAAATCCTGGCTCAAAAGGTGAAAAAATCACGACCTACTACCCAGTAGGATTTTTTCCAGTACTTCACTAAATCACTGAGCCAAAAACAATATTTATAATTTTTTTTGTAAACCTAAGGATTACCTCTAACCCTTTGTGGCAACCGGCCTCTAGTTTTTGCGATAACTTCAAGTTAACTCTAACTTAAATACAACACTCAGAGTACCTAGTACAATTGTTTCTAGATAAAGCTGAAAGGTACAACTCAAAAGCCCTACTACAATGAAACTAGAATAAAAAACAGATACTTGGAACTGGTTCAATTCTTCTATCTGGTTCATGTAGCTTCAGGTTCGCA